TTCCCTCAAAGGACAGCCCCCAACTTCAGCCTTAGTTAAATAACAAACCAGCAGGCATTATTGAGCACCTACTCCGAGCAGTGGGGACACCAAAGTTTATGTATAGCCCCCCTTGTCTTCTGGGAACTGCCGGGGTGCTGGGGGCCCAGGTGCATACACACGCCCTGCATACGTGCAGCTCTCTGCAGACCTTGACTGCTCAGCACATGTTGTCCCTTAGGACCATCCTCAGCAGGGGCCAAAGCCAGCATCTCGGAGGCTTAGAGGGGTCCGGTGCCCAGTCTCAGGGCACACAGCTAAGGCGGCTCAGCCAGGATTCAAACCCAGGCAGTTGAATCCATGACCCCACCCAAGGACCACAAGAGAGCACTCAGCGCCCAGGGCTTAATGGAGCAGGGCCAAGGGCTGCGAGAGGTGGGCCAGGAGAAAGGGCAGCGGGCACCGCTGGGTCAGCAAGGCAGGCCTCGTGAGCTGGAGACACTGGCCCTCATTATTCCCATGAGCTGGCCCCATGTTCATAGACGGGCTGTGGTGTCCTGGAGGGCCAGCCCACGCCTCAGCCTTTTGGCCTACTGCTGCCCTTGTCCCACCTAGCTCAGAACTGGCCACACACTCCCTGGCTGGTGTCCGCCCCATCAGCTCCTCTCTCTAAAGCGTTCATGATTACTGGGGAAGCAGGTGGGGGCGGGGGGGTAAAGCTGGCCTCTGGGCCAGAGGCAGGGCCTGAAGGTGGCATGGGTTGAACACATGACACACAGACCAGTCTCAACCTCTGCCTGTCTCAGAGACCCCAGGCAAGCCTCCCTGCCTTCCTCAATCTCAGTGTCCTCATCTGTAAAATGGGCAGACCATTACGTGCTCTCAGGGTGGTTATGAGGGTGAAGCGAGCCAGCATCTGGACAGTAACCACTGCAGAGATGTTTGCTAGCGTGCAGGCCTGACACCTGTTGAACCTGACTTGGTGCACACCGTCTCCTTTCTGGGTGGGAATCAATATTAATTAGCCCACTTAACAGATGGGACCAGAGAGGACAAAAGCTGCCTGGGTCATGCAGTTAGAAAGGGGCAGAGCTGGGATTTGAGCCCAGGTCTCTCTAGCCTGCTGCTCTTCCACGGCAGGGGCGTGGAGGTGGGAAGGCAGCGTCTGTGTGGAGGCATCGTGTGCACGGTGGTGCCAGGTGCAGTCCCGGCCGTGCCTGCATCTGAGGCATTATCACAGAGCTGCAGCCTGCGGCCGTGGACTCCTCCATCTGGCCCCCTGTGGTCCTCCTGGCTCAGCTCAGGGCCTCAGGGGAGGTTTCTGGGCCTGATGATGCCATTAGAGATCCCCAGAGGTCCCTGCCCACCTGAGGGCCTGGGAGCCAGTGACCCCTTTCTCAGATGAGGGGCTGGCGCCAGAGGCCAGCTGGGGCCTGGCTGGGGTGGGGGCCCCAGGAGAGGGGAAGGCGCCAGCTCATGACATGGGAAAACAATGGGGTATGTCTGAGCCTCTTCCTCCTAGGCTCTGGAGTATACACCCTCCTCTTCCTCCTTACCAACTGGGGCCCAGAATTATGGGGAGGGACATCCATCCCTCCTTCCTCAACACCCACCCTTCACTTCTCTGAAATCTACCTGGCCTAATACCAGATTGGGGGGCGGTGGTGGAAGGGGAGCTGCGCTTACCCCAGCAGGGACCCTCCCCCGCACCACCAATGTCCCTGGCTACTCCTGGGCCGACTCCCCCTCCCACCGCCCAACCTAGGATCGCTGGTTGAGGCGGAACCTTCTGCACCTGTCCTGAGAGACACACCTGACCAGGTAGGTGCTGTCCACATACATAGAGGGTCCTGGCCACGCCAGGGCTGGCAATTAGGCCCATCAGGCCAGGCAGGGCTGGGGGAGGGGCCCACAACTCCCTCCTTCAAGCACCAACGTTGCTGGTCGCTCCACGGAACAGGGACCACAGGCCACCTGAGCCTGCTCCCATCTCTATTCAGAAACCTTCCGCTGGGCACAGGTAAGCCGCGAGCTGCCTGCCTGCTTTGGGATCTCAACCCTGATCCCAGACCCTGCCGCAGCCCCGTAGCCCCGTAGCCCCGCAGCCCCGAAGTGGGGGAGAAGGCACCCTCTGAGCCCCCTCCTCTGATTCCAGCGCAGAACCTCCCACCCTAGGGACGAGGAATGGCGGAGGGAGCTGCACCGTGAATATGCAGCGGCTGTCAGTCTGGACTTGAGGCTGAGGGGATTTCTGGGGGGACTCCGTCGCGGGAAGAGACCCCATCCTCACGCCGCTCTCTCGTCCCCGGTGTCCGGGGTCCTGGGGAGGGCCAGCCCGGGCAGATCAGTCCCGGTGAAGGGCGGGGCGCGCGGCGGCTGCGGACACTCACCTGAAATTGGGAGGCGACGCGATGTGCAGCCCCAGGAACGGGGAGGCGGCAGGCGGGGACGCGGCCCCCCCGCCCAGGCCGCCGCTTTCTCGCTCCGCCATTCTCGGGCACAGCCCTGTCCATCCGGGCGGAGCGCGGCGCAGAGGAGGCGGCGGCGGCGGAGGAGGAGGCGGAGGCGCGCCGAGGAGGCCGCCGCAGCCGCGGGGCTTGGGCTCGGGCGGGCGCGGCGGGCGCACCTGTGCCGGGCGGGGAGGGCAGGGCGCGGCTCCGGACCGCGCGCGGCTCGCGGGACTGGCGAGAGCGCCCCGCGCGCCCCCGGGCTCCGGCAGGGGTCTCGCCGTCCCGCCCCGCGCGCTGGCCCCGCCCCTCCGCGCTAGCTCCGCCCCACCCGCTAGCCCCGCCCCGGCGGCGCTCTCCGAGGTGCTGAAGCCACGGCCCCTGTGGGCCTGGGCTTCTATCCGACACTGACTGTCCCCACCTGGCAAAGCCTTGAGTTGCCAGCATGTGCTTTGTCCCTGGGGCGGGCCTTGCGCCCGAGTACCAGGTAACTAATGGCGGGACCCTGGATCCGAAGGCCCAGGTTAGCCCCTCGCAGCTGGGACAGACAAGGCGGGCGGGAAAGGAGGGTCACAGAGGAAGGAGAGAGGCTATGTCAGAGTGAATTCCTAGAGAAAATAGGTTTGGAGTCAGGTGGTGTGAATTCACAGCCTGGCTCCCCAAGTGAATAGGCAGTGGAGCCTTGCATTAGTGACTTCAGAAACCTGAGGTTCAGTGTTTTCATCTGTGAAATGGGGACGATAACAGTCCATCTCATGGTGGTTGTGACAATAAAAGATAATACAAATGTGTTGTCACTGGGAGATAAGAACACCCTTCTTCCTGCACTGGAAGCAGGCTTAAAATTCCTGTCCCCTTAAGGGGACCTTCCAGGACTCTCTCTAGAAGAGTGTCCTTTCTAAAGACTGACCCAAGCCTCCCTTCAGCCCCAAACAGCTATTCGTGGTGAGTAGCTGAGCTCTCCTCTTGGCTTCTCAGTCTCTCCGTGCCTCCTCACTGAAGTCAGGACTTTCCCAGCGTTCTCCTTCTCACTTGGCCCCATCCATTACATTTCCTCCACAGCACCCACAGACAAAAGACTTGGGCTTTCCCCCTGCCCCCACTGTTGACTTTAGAGTCTTTTGTTCCCTCCAGTAGCTCCATCCTCCTAGGTTTTGGCCATGGTTTCCTCCTTGTGTTCTCTACCCTCAGTTCAGCCTGGACCTCCAGGCCTTCAGGGTGCTGTGTTCCCGATTGAGTTCTTTCACAGAGTGTGGTCTGCCAAGGCCAGGGCCCCAGTTTTGGTGGGTCAGAACCTCTGTCCACCTGAGAGAACTGCAGAGACCCTACTGAAGGTGGCACAGGGCTTGTGCGATTCTATTTGCAAATCTGGACTGTCAACTGGTCATGCTGGCCCTTTTTCCTCCAATGTGGCACCCAGCAGGGAGCTGCAGGCACCTGCCTTGCAGTAAGCAACCCCCCAGCTCCAGTCCTGAGACTATCCCAGTATCTAGAGCCAAAGACCTTGGCTGCCTGTCCTCTTCCTGCCCCCAGGGCCCAGAGGGGTGGCCACTTTACCATTCCTGCTATTTGGCTCAGGCCCCTTTTACTGGGCCCTCACAGTAACCATCTACAGCCATGGCGCCTTTTTCCTCCTGGCATTGTCATCATGGCTAATAATTAATTGTTCCTTAATAATGTGTACTTGTCTCAGCTGGGGCACATCCTCAGGAGGTCAGGTGTGTATGTGTGGGACAACCCCCTCTTTCAGAACCTTTTGCTCAAGAGCAACGACAACCCCGTCTTTCAGAACCTTTTGCTCAAGAGCAACGGTATCTTAGCTGCAAAGACCAACCCAAAGCCACATTAGACAGAAGCCAGGAGCAGAGGAGGGAAGGGCAGGCCCAGACCTTGGTAGAAAGGAGGCCAGCAGGAGCTTCAAAGCAGAGCCAAGAATGAGATAAATCCCAAAGCAAGTTCCTCCCCATCCCCTTTCTCACTCTGTGCAAGGCAGACTGTGATATCCTTGGGCCTTGCTTGAGTCCCTCCCCACAGGAAGCTGGGGTTGGGCTAATGAAGCCCTCCATCCAAGGCTAGGACTCCCTGCCATGAAAGCAGGAAGAACTGCACAGGGAGGGCCGTTCTCTGGCCAGGTGGCAGGAGACAAAGCCAGCATCCAGGTCCTGGGATTAGCCGTGGGCAGATCCTGACCTCCGGGCCTACATCCCCTCCCCACCACAGGCTGCTGTGCTGAGGTGAAGGATGGACTGACGGCCTGGGGAGGGTCCTGCCAGTGACCCCCAGCCTAGGGGGTCTAAGCGGGCTGCAAGGTTGGGTCACTGCAAGATGGTACTCATGACCCTTACCCTGGGCCCACAGTGCTCTGCACCACTCTGGCTGAAGCCCCCAACTCTGACCAAGCTCCGGAGCTGCCTCTGGTCTTCTCTGGCTGCTTCTGTAGGGGCCTCCCCGCCTTAGGAGGGACACGAGGCCCCTGACTCCAGCAGAACCAAGAGTCTGGCCTACAGCTTCACTCAGGCTCAGCCTCACCAACCCCAGTCCCCAGACCTCCCACAAGATTGATGACAGCACAGCTTTACTCAGACAGGATCAGACGTTTATAAAACAAGTGAATATTAACAAACAAACCGTGGGAGAAACATACCTTCCCAGCAATAGAAAATCTCTATAAAGTGCATTTTGCCTGCGACCATCTCTTCCCCAAGCTGGCCCTTGGGTCAGGATTTGGGGCACTGCTCTGTGGCAGCCCCCAGGGCCACCTGGGCTAGGAAAAGGGAGGCATGAAGCTATTGTGGAGCTCCAGGCCACTGGATACACCTTCTCCTGTGCTTCCCCTCCTGGCTCTGGGAGTGCACTGCCCCACTCCACTGGCAGGTTGTCCTGGGAACAGGCCAGCATGCCAGGGACGGTGGAGAAGGGGGAGGTGGTCCTGCCAATTTGTACCTTAGGGAAGAGAGCCATCATCAAATAGGCAGATACTAACTGCTAACGAATACTGAATCTGGCCCTCAGCCTCTGGCCTTCTCAGTTTCCCAGACTTGCCCTGCAGGTTCATTCTACTCTCCTTCTGGCAAAAGCTCCCCATTCTCTTTCCTCCTGGCTTCCCAGGGAACAGGGAAGCCCCCGAGTCACTGCTCTGATTACACACCATCACCCGTGCCCTGCTCCCCCCACGTGACTACTGGACATTTCTAGGGAGGGTGACATACATACAACATCATGGACTCTAAAGGCAGCTCTCTGGCTGAGAAAACCTGAGGACATCTCAGGAAGAAGCCTGTCAAGGTGCTGGACAGCTGTGGGAGATAGGGGCCTGACCCTATGGTTCTGGTCCGAGAACAGAGGACAGTGAGGGACAGCTCTGAGGCTAGGAAAGGTCACAGGGGAGGTAGAAAGGAAAAGGCCCAGAGGCCAGCTTAACGTTACATGTGAGGACAAAATCCCAATAGGAATTACCCTCTTGGCTACATACACACGTACACACACATGTACACACAACACATACACACACACTCTTTGTGGCTCAAGTGCAGGCCACAGGGTGGAAGGAAGACTTGCTCCAGTTGACCACACAGACCTTCTTTTCATTATGTCTTTCTCAACACAGGCCTTTGACAGTGGGAAGGGAGAGGTGGGAGGCACAGGCCATTCCTGGAATGCAAGGCTTGGCTTCTCTGGGTCAAACCTCCCACCTACTGCTTCTGGAAGGGATGGTGTGCTGTGTGTGATCTCCACCTGGACTTTTGCCAACTGCCCCTGGCCTGCCCTGCCCTGCATCCCTCCCTCTGCTGGAGTCCTTAGAGCCCAGTGACTGGGGTAGCTGATGTGGCAGTTTGGATGCTGACTAGTTCAGGGCAGGCCCTGGAAGCCTATAGAACAAAGACTGGAATGGCTTTCCTGGCTGGGTGTCAGTTGTCCTCACTGGCAGCACTGTGGTGCCTTGGAGTGTGGCCAGAGGAGCCAGAGGGCCTAAGGCTACCTGGGCCCTGGTCTCCTGGCAGAGGGACCAAGTCTGACCCTGGCTGCTCCACAGCCTCTGGGCAGGCTCTGAGGCTGGCTCTTGGCTTCTGGGAAAGGAACAGTGAGAACTGGGATTCTATTCTTAACCGTAGGTTCTAAGCCCTGAGAAGGTGGATGTGCTGCCTGAGGCCACTATCTACAGTCCTGGGCATATACCACACTAGTAAGGTACTGGGTATACTTCTATATGGTGGCCGCAACTTCTCAGATCTGTCTACAGTCTTGTGCTCAGTCCCAGACGCCCAAAGAAGGGTCTGGAGGAGCCAGTGGCAGAAAATTTTAAAATAAGAAACAAAGAAGCAAGACCAGGTGGCTAAGTCTGGACAGCATCCATCCACTACGCACAGCCTCCGGGTCAGAAAACAGGAACTCAGCAGGACTCTGGCTGCCTCTAGAATCCCGTGCTTTGAACAAGAGCCAAAACTGTTGCCCTCCTGCTCTCAGTCTGATGTGAGGAGGGAGGGAGGTCTAGGGAGACACGTGCCAGAATCCCAGCTAGGGTCCTACCACTATGTACTATTCAGACAAGGCAGCTGGCTTGTAGGGACAGCTCTTGGCTGAAAATCACTGCCATGACCTCTAGCTTTGTGTGTGGAGGCCAGAGAACAGCACTGGCAGTGAAGTGTGCTACAGGTACTCCTCCAACCCAGGGAACTTTCAGAATCACGAGAGTGTAAACAGATGCATGCACACGCAAACAGGCACACCATTCCTCTCTTGGCACACGCGCACATACACGCACACATATTCGCTCTATGTCTGTCAGTGATCAGCTTCTCTGCAGGTTGTGCTCTGCTGCCGTGGCGGCTGCTCAGGCACCCAGGCTTTGCTCCCGGAGCAGGGCTCTGCAGCTGGAAGAGAAAAACAAATGCAAAAGAAGCATTCAGGAGGCTGTTCAGTTGCCCAGGGACACAAGGTCCTCTGGTGGCTTCTCTGGGGACACAGACTGGGAACTAGGAAGAACCAAAAGAATGAGCTACATGAGCCATGGCACCCACAGACAGGTTGTTGCTGGGATGCCAGTAGGGTGAACTAAATACTGCCCCTCTGAAGTGCTGGCCCAGGACAATCTCCCCCTGCAGACCCTCCACACAGGACTGAAGGCAGCAGAGGAGGAGGAGGACAAGGCCATGTGAGACTCACTTGAAGCCTTGGGTGACATTTGCTCAAATATGACAAGGACAGTTTCTGAATCAAGGCATAGCAGCTGCTGGCAGAGATGGAGAATCAGAAGAAAATGGCTGGAAGTGAAGCCCGCTGGGACCAGTAATTGTGAAGAGTAAGACAATGACTTGAGTTTAGAATCAGCAGGTGAGCACATTTCCACATATAGATAAAAGCACCCTGGCACAGGGCTAGAAGATTGGGGGGGGCGGAGGGAGAGAGGAGACACAAGGATGACTCATTTTAAAGATTTATAACATCCAATTCTGGAGCAGAGAGAAGAAATGGCCTCATCCCTGATAACAGAGGACTGTGCAAACCTGCCGTAAGGGTGGGTTGCCTGTTTCAATAGGTTGTGTGTCTGAGAGTCTACAAGGACATGCAGTGGTCCATTGACACTCTGCGCAGTTTCAACACCGGTGAGGCTAATGATGACAAGAAGTCAGTTTCCTAAGCCTATTGTGGGTCAGGCACTAGACAACCATGCTATGGGTGAGTTGTGTCTCCCCCAAATTATGTTGAACCCCAATACTTCTGAATGTGAGCATATTTGAAGATGGTCTTTAAAGAGGTAATTAAGTTAAAATGAGGTGATTAGGGGGGACTCGAATCCAATATGGCTGGTATGCTCATAGGAAGAGGAAATTTAGAGCCAAACAGTACAAGAAGAAAGACCATGTGAAGAAATAGGGAGAAGATAGCTATCTACAAGCCAAAGAGAGAGGCCTCAGAAGAAACCAACTCTGGTGACATCTTTTTAATTTTATTTTTTTAGAGATGGGGTTTTTCCTCTGTTGCCCAGGCTGGAGTGCAGTGGCATGATCGTAGCTCACTGCAGCCTCAAACTGCTGGGCTCAGGTGATTCTCCTGCCTCAGCTTCCCAAGTAGCTGGAACTACAGGCATGTGCTACCATGCCTGGCTCATTATTTTTTAAGAGACAGGGTCTTGCTATGTTGCTGGGATTATAGGCATGAGCTACCACACCTGGCCCTGGGGACATCTTGATCTTAGACTTCTGTTGTTTAAGCTACCCAGTCTGTAGTACTTTGTCATGGCAGCTTGAGTAAACTGACATAATTTACAATGCCATTAACCTTGAACATAGCCCTCCATTTTCATAGATGAGAAAACGGAAACCAGAGTGGATAAGTAACTTGCCCAAGACAACAGCATTTGTAAGTGGCAGAGCCAAGAGAGGAAATCCATATCTCTCTGATTCTAAAACCTGTATTTTTACCAGTAAGTAAGTAATCTCTATATTATAGCATTGCTCATTAAGACTTTTAGAGGCTATAAAAAGAATAAATTCAACATAGTGGCATAAAGACTAATATCCAAGCAACATAAATGGATGTTAAGATTTTATTAGAAAAAGGAAAATGTTCTTAAAAGTCACAGACATTGGAGACAAGGATTTAAAATCAGCTTTCTGGTACATGTGATCCACGTGCTAAATCTGAAGCAGATTTTATCTAGATGATAATAAAAGCTGGGCAAAATGAAGAGCAAACACAGGAGTGGAGACCTGTATGGGTCTGTGCTGAGTGCCTTGTTCTTTAAAATGTGTATTATTTTCAAAAGTTTTCCACTTAAGCTTGTGCTATAATAATCTAGTCATATTTTTTCACTACAAATAAATATATTTTGTTACTAGGGTGCGTACATGTTTACTGAAACATGCTGTGAGTATATCCTCCACACACACAGTATATCTCTCTCCCACCCCTGTTGGTAAGCCAAGGTGATGACTAGTCTTCTGAAACAGAAACATTTCAGGGTTGGAGGATATACCACAACAGGTCCTCCTTATCCAACACCTCCATTTTTTGTGTTTTCTCCATCTTCAGGAATGGGGGAAGGTAAAGTGTGCTTGAAGATTCCTTAGAACAAGGGCTCTTAATCTCGGGTTCCTAGACCCTTAAGGAGTCCAAGGATAGGCTTAAGGGGCTGCCCATGAAGACCCAAGTTATATGCGCGCTTTTCTGAATGTGGGAACATGTGCAGTTTTCTGGGTGAAGGGTCTGTCTGCCATCAGGCTCTCCAAAGGGAGGATAACCCCAAAAGGGTTTAAAAACCAATGCCTAATCTTAGAAGAATAAGGGGCGAGGTACAGTCAGGTGGATCTGCACAATTCAGACCTATGTTGACTCAGGCATGAGTTAGTTTGGGGCAGGCTCATGAAGGGAGGTGGCAGTGTCCTGGCCTCAGATGAGCCCCAGTCATGCAAGTCCCTCTGTGATGGTTTCAAAGCCACCAACACAGAAAATCAAGGTTAAGAAGATTTGTCCTTGTCTTGTCAGATTTGTCTCAGCTTGTCCTTGTCTACAAAGCTAGTCAAAGGTCTGTTCAACTAGTTACTCTAGCTGCTTGATCAGCATATAACTAGTTGGTCCTGTTCTCTTGCTCTCAAGCTATGGTATACATCTGCAGAAAAAGGGGGCTGGGGAAATCAAATTGTTTGCAGGAAAATGATGACAGCAGCACTAAAGGAAAAGGAAGAACCGCCAGGGAAGAGGCACCAGGGGAAAAATCGACACATAAAACAAGCACTAAAAAATCAATCTCTTGGTTGCCCAACTCTTTCAACATGTTATCATACAAGAAACACCACAGAGGCAGCTGGAACACAAAGTAAGTTAAAGACTGCCTCCCTCTGCACCATCCATGTTAGGATGGCCTGCTGGGCACCTGTGCCCTCACACCCCTTCCCATCCATTAGGTGCTACCAAGAAACCCAAAGCTGTAAGCCCACCCTTCCCCATGATCCTCGCCCTGGAAGGGCGTGTGCGCACATGTGCATGCACGAGCTGACGCTAGCAGAGGGGACCGCAACAGCTGAAGATCTGGAGGAAACTGTGTTTGTAGACTGTCACCGAGTCTCAACGTTTCCCTCTCCCTACCACACTGGGCGAGGCACAGTGCCCGAGAAAGGCAGGGGGTTTGCGGCCAGCTCCCAAGTTAGGGCCAGGGAAGTACAGAGATGCAGCTGGGCCTGGACAGGGGACAAAGTTGAATCTCTTAGCTCAGTCTCATTCCTCATGTCAACTACATCCTTACCCTTCCTATGCCATACAGACCACATAAGAAAGTGGAAGGGACACCAATCAGTCAACAACTACTTAGGAAGTACCAAGGAACGTGCTACAGGACCCTGAGTCCCAACTTCTCATTTTCAGGTCGGGAACTGAGACTCAGAGAGGTGAGATCACTTGTGCAAAGTCTCATCGGAGGCAGGTGGCAGGCCCAGGGTGCAGACATCAATCTGCACACAAAGCAGGGCTCTTTTCCCAATGCCACACTGCCTCTGCTTCCAGAACTCTGTAGCATTTTACAGATTGCCAGTGCCTTTCACATACCAGGAGGGAATATGCAACTAAACAAGTGTCAAAAAGACAAGAAAGAGATTCCAGAAGTCAGGTTTTACCCAATGAAGCCCCAGGGCTAACAAAGCTCTGGTAACTGCAGGTGGTGGAGGGGAGGAGGTGATCCTTGGCCATGAACCTTTTGTATTCGGTGGGGCTTCTCTCAACAGATCACTCTGTACCAGCAGAAGGGCAAAGGGAACACGTGAGCTGTTCTCCCACTATGGTAAAATAATTGGACCAGTGAGAGAAATCTGTACACAATCCGGAGCTAACAGAATTCTGAGCAGTCAGCAGCTTTAGGGATTATGGGAAACCAGCTGAACCGATAGCTATTTGGGGCAGCTTGTTTTTCAGTTTAGTGAACACTGTAAAATAAAACTAAATGCGGAGCAGATAGCTGGTATGAATTTGAGGTAAGCATGGAACCTACTGATATGGGAACACGTTTTTCTACAAGATCAGTTTAAATTGCAAGTGATTGTTTGCTCTGTGCCACAGGCCTGAGGCATTAGAAATAACAGAGACACAGAACTACAGAGTTCAGAACTAAAAGCAAAAGGTCCAGGATGCAGCCTGCAGGCTGGTAAAGAAAGGTTACTCACACCTTACACCTGAAGCATCTCAGGAAGGTTATGTGGCCATCCCCAAGTCACACAATGAAAAATGACAGAAGGCACAGGGAGGAAGGGACAAGTCTACCTCCTCTCAGTATAGTACTAAATCAACTCAGGCCACGTAGCTAGCCAGAGCTCTGTGGTCTACTCAGCCCAGGGTGCTGGCTCCAACTACAGTAAAACTGACGCAATCAACGACACCCTGATAAGCACCTGGCAGACAATCATGGGATTTCGTTTGCACAGTGCATTTTACTTATTCAAAGACTTTTCACATATGGTTTTTCATCTTCTTTCCCTAACAGGTATGCTTGATGGGTGAGACAGGTGACAAGATACTATTATCACTGGTTTACAGATGAGGATGCTAAGTGTTGTCAGGCCCAGATGCCTCTCCCAGCACACAGTGGGACACAGAGTGCTCTTTTCTCTCAGGCTTCCCAGAGAACCAGGGGTTCTTCCCCAGTAGGCCTTGGAGGGAAGTCTGCTCCTGCCCGAGCCCTCTGACCTCTTGACCCGACTCCACCTTCACAACCTAGCCTGGCCTAAGAGCCACCAACAGGTGTGCAGTAAACCTTGAGACTCAGTCCTTACAATCCCAGTAGGCTGACAGACAACCTCCCAGACTAAAAGGCAAGAGGCCCTCACCTCTGTACCCCTGTAATGTCTTCACTTAGCATCACTGTCAATCAGCTCTCTCTTCCTCACCTTTTCCTCTACAGGTCCCAGCCCAACGCCTAGTTGATCCTCCAAAGATGCCAGTTTGATCATTTCTGTTCTAAAATGCTTCTTCACCCCCAGATAGTACACCGGGGGACTAATCTGCCTAACACTGATTAATACAACCCTCCATGATCAGACCCAACTGTAACCTTATGCTCTTCTCAAATAATAATCATAACAATAGCTATAATAATCACTGCCATTTACTGAGTACTTATGAGCCAGGTACTGGGCTAAGTGTCTTGCCTATTATGCAGACAGTGTTAGCTGTCCAGCAATATCCACACTGCTCAGCTAACGGAAGCTGGATTTTGTTCAGAGGCCATGGGCCTGGCCCAGACAATGGATTATGACTGGCCTAAATCAGTGATTCTCACAGTATGGTCCCTGGACCAGCAACCCTCACAACATAAAACTACAACATCTCCTGTGGCCTGACCTTTACTTTCTATATTCTTACCAATTTTTAAATGTTTTCTTCATAGGACTTATGGCTTCTTGACATTTAAAATATCTATTTATTTGCTTATTGTCTGTCTCCTTCCACTAATATTTCCCCAAGGGGGAAGAGATGCTGTCAGCCTTGTTCACAACCAGATCCCGGTGCCTAGAACAGCATCTAGCAAATCGTGTATACTTGATGTAGGTTCATTAAATGAACAGTGTCCTTGCTGTCCCTTCTTTCTTGCTTTGAATGAGGAATTGATGGCTGAAGTTGTGGCAACCACCATGAGGCCACAAAGCAATGGTCAAGAGAAACTCAGAAAAACTGGCTTTGACACTGTTGAGCCACCAAACCAAAATCAGCAACTCCTAGCTCTGGGCCTTTTTTAGGCAAGAAAAATAACCCCATATTTTATTTTAGCCATAGTAGTCAGGTTTTCTATTACTGGTAGAAATGATACCATGCGACACATGACACATACAGATTTAATTAATCTTTACAACAACCACCTAGTTTATAGGTGAGGAAACTTAGTCTCACAGCGGTTAAGTTATCTGTAACCTTTAAGCTGTTTTTCTTGTCCTAAATGTCCTCTGCACTGCCTGAATCCAGTTCATCTTCAGGCTTCCTAAGGGCAAACTTCTGTGACGTGTGCCCTGGTCATTCCAGCCCACCAGCAAGTCCCTTCTGATAAGCTGGTCTGTGTCATTTGTTTAGGAGTTAAAGTTGTTTGTCTTATTTGTTTAAGCAGACTGTTAAATCCCCGTGGATGGACATCATATCACATTTTATATGTTTTATGCTCCCCCTTCCTCACCTACCTGCTGGCAACAATTTCAAGCTGAACTGGACACCATTAGCCTACTGAGCAACCTTGACCCAGAGATTTTACCTCTCTGTTCTTTGGTCTTCTCACCTGAAAATCAGAGCATCAGCCTGGCAAGTTCCAGGTTTCTTAATTACAGAATGAATTTTGCTTATTATCATAGAGCTAAGATTTAGCTGCGGGAGTGGTATCTAGGGTTGCTAGTGCTCCCAGGAACAAGATAGCACAAATTTGTCTATCTGCAACGTCTGTGTCAAAGCGCCCAGTCAAGGTAAAGGGTCCTAGCACCAAAGCTCATCCTACTGAGCATACAGACCTAGACACTCAAACCAGATGGCCTGAGTGAGCATACAAACCTAGAGACTCAAGCCAGATGGCTTCAGTGAACATATAAACCTAGACATTCAAACCAGCCTGGCTTTGAAGTGAGAGGGATCTGAAAAAAAGAACCAATCAACTCCATTGAGAAAATCGCCTTCCAATCTAATGACACAGGCAAGGCACAGAAGGGACAGCCTGAGAAGATAATGACTCAGAGAGGACAAGAGTTTACATTTCCCAAGAAAAGCAGCAAAGGCCGTTCTTGCTTTGGGGAAGGAGGAGCCAGTTTTTTCATGGCATTCAGGAGGCTTCCAAGATGAATGCAGAGAGAAAGCCGTGGAGCTGAAGCCACAGAGCTGAAGCCACAGGACAGGTGAAAGGAGGAGTGGCTGTAAAAGGCAAAGATGATGGGGAGACTGGGTGTCCTGGTCCTTAGGTGGGGCTGGGCACTGAGTCACTGCACAGCCCTCTGCCCTGGCTTCCCAAGCTCTGTGCTGCCCTCCGCTGGCCGGCCTGCAGAGCACAGCCTGTCGGGGCAAGCAGGGGCCCTGGAGCAGCCCCAGATCCTGCCACTGGGCCCATCTTTCCCACAGCTTCACACCGGGTCTAGGCTTTTGTTTTGTTGGATTTGACCCACCTTAATAGGTAGAAAATGCCAAACCCACCCTTGCTCTTTTTTCTTAGCTAGGAAAGAAATAAAACGCCTGGACTTTTAAATTTTAGAAGTCCTTTCTTTTACTTTAAGAGACAAGGTCTATGTTGCCCAGGTAGGTCTCAAACTCTTAGGCTCAAGTAGTCCTCCTGCCTCAGCCTCCCTGAGTAGCTGGGGCTACAGGCACATGCCATTGTGCCTGGTAAAAGTCAGAATGGTGGAATTTTTTAGCTGAAATCCTAAAAATCATGTAGTCCCAGGAGAATTTAATCTAGTTTGATGTGTTTATTTAACCCCTTGCTGGCAGGGTAGCAATTTCCCAAACTAAGCCCCTCTCTCCCACCTTCCTCCCTAAGGCCAATTCTAAGCTGCTATCACTCACTCTCAGGCATCCTTGCTTGGCAGCTCTGGGGTGGGCAACTCTGTCACCCTGGCCCGTTTGCTGAGTTCTTCACCAGGTGGCTCCTCGGCTGCTTCCAGCTTGCGTTTGGGGGATGCTGGACCACTGGGTAGTGGTCTTGGGCCTGTAGGGAAGCATGTGAAACGGTCACACAGACTACAAATACAGCCAGGATGACCCCACACTGTGCAGTAGCAGCTCTTTAGGGGCCAGGGAGTTTGCTTATCAATGGAATGCCAGCATGCTGCCCCTCAGACCTGCCCCCCTCAGTCTTCCTTTTAGCGGTGACCTTGCCTAGAAATGTCCAAGGAGAATATGACCAGCCCTGCTGGTAGCAGAACCAGCTTTGGGGCCCCAAATCCCATGGGCTGCAGGCCAGAGACTGATTTGGCCTGCCTGCTGTCCCTGCTCTGAAGGTCAGGCACTCCCTCCCTCTGGAACCCTGGATCGACCTCCCAGAGCACCAAAGAGCAGGTCCCCTGCATATGCAGCCAGCCTGGCTGGGTAAACTAAAAAATCCCTCGGAGTTCTAGCCCTCTCATGTTACTGATCATCATCCCAAAGCTGAAGGGAGGAGGTTCAGCATGCAGCAAATCCTTCCAGTCTCTCTCTGCCACCACCGCTCTGGCTGTGCAACCGCCTCCTTTCTCACTTCCCTGTATTCACTCTTGTCCTATGCTGTCTCCTTGCCACAGCTGGAAAGGGAGCTTTTTCAAACTTAAGTCCGCTCATGCCCTGCCCTGCTGATCAGCCTTCAATGCAGTGAAGACAGAATCCTAATCCTCATCACAGACGTCCAGCCTGCCAGGTGCTGCTCCTGCTACATCTTGTCCTTATCTCATCCTGGTTCCTCACTCGGGACATGCCACCACACTGGTCTCTTTCTTCAGTTCCTTGGTCCAGCTAAGCTTGGTCCTCTCTCTGGACCTTTTCTTGCTATTCCCTTTGCCTGGAATGCTCCTACCCAGTTCTTGGGAGGGCTGGCTCCTGCTCATTATGTGGGTCTCTGCTCAAAGGGGATGTGTCCCTGCTGCTCCAATCTCAAGTGACCCAAAGGAGGCCTTCTTTCCCTAGCTCCTCTCTATCAAGACACTTGATTTTATTTTCCCCCAAAGCACTTGTTATCCAAAATGACCTTACTTGGTTTCTTTAATATCTGATTGCCCCAGGTGTAACATAAGCTCCATCAAGCAAGGACTCCATCTGGCCTCGGCCATGAATGACTGAAGGGGTGGCAGAGGCTGTGGGAGGCCATGGAAGGCCAGCTGCTACTGCTCACCTGTGCTGCTCATGCTCCCAGCCTGGCTTGAGCTGGGCTCTGCCACGGGGTGATTGAGGTCTTCTACGCAGGAAGGGACAGATGCCAGTAGACCTGGGAAAGAGGCGGGAGCAATCAAAATGCAGTCTCACAGGACTGCTGAGAGCTGCAGAGCAGGAGGAAACAAGGTGGGTGCGGAGGGCAGGACCATGACACTGAGGTTCCATCTCCTCCCACTGCCCTACTCAGGGCTCAAGGAGGCCCATTCCAGCCCAGCCTGCAGTGTCCTGTATCCTGGGAAGTCAAGTCAACTTAACAGTCTGGATAACAGTAATCAGTCTATCCCCTCTGAGTCTGCAGATGCTATCCTTCCTTTCAGTGAGCTGGGAGATGGGGGCGGGGAGGTAATGGCTAGTGGCTCCTTACAGAGTCCCCGGTAGCGTGACAGCTGCTGGTAAATCTGCTTCATCCGTTCAATGTTGAGCCGGCTGGTCTCGGCATGGTTGACGATGGGCCGTGGGTAGTCCACACCAATGATGCATTTGGCTGCCTTCTGAATCGACTCTGGGGCATTCCAGGGCTCATAGATGTATCGAGAGGGGAACCCTTTCAATTTGGGCAGGTATCGCCTAAAACATATACACCAGGCGATTCGTCAGCATACCTAGACCCTCCTTCAAAGGGCCAAGGGTATCCCATCCTAGGAGGCCACAGTGGTCACAGGCCAGGGAGCATGGTCTGCATCCTCACCTGATGTAGTCTCCACTGGGGTCTGTGCGGCGGCCGAAGCCCACAGGGCAGTAGCAGTGGAAGAACTGTTGGAAGAAAGCACTGCAGGACAGCCACATCCAGCTGCCTGAATTCACGCTGAAATCTGCGTCCAGGAGTAGCTCATCAAATACCTAGATGGAGAGGGGGGACAATCAGCTTCCTGGGGACCTGTCATGGTTCTGCCCAAGTCACCACAGTGCCCCAAGGAGCCACGGCCCTGCTGCTGAGGGCAAGCCATGGAGGATTTAGAGGGGATCTCCTGCACCCAGGGATCCCACCCCATCCCCCAGCCCAGAGGGGGCTGCCAGCTTCCCACTGAGAGAGCACTCACCCGGACCCCGCTCTCCCAGCTGACCCAGAGGTCCCCGCGGGTGAGGAAGCAGGCCACGGCATGCCGGGCCAGGTGGTGGATCCAGCCCTCCTGCCTCAGTTGGGTCATGATGGCGTCAATCCAAGGGAAGCCCGTCTTGCCCTCGGCCCACTTGGCCAGGGCCTCAGGGTTGCGGTCCCAGGGGATCTGGATGCAGATGGGGTTCCCCTCCATGCGGTCAAACCTGGGGTTGTTGGTGGCCGCTGTGTAGAAGAACTCTCGCCATAGGAGTTGCCCAAATAGGGAGAGAGGGGGCGTGCTGTTCCGCTTCACCTAAGGGTGGGGGTAGCACATGAATACCAACACTTGCCCAGCCCTCAGCATGACGTCTCTGGGGTCTCTCCCCCAAAGTTATTTGGAGACACATGGAGGGACTCCCCTAGAAGTGGCACAGTGTGCCTGCAGGCTGAAGACCCAGGCCCTGCCTGCGCAGTGTGGCTGCTCTGAGCAGTAAGAATGGCTGCAGAGAGCCAGCAGCAGGAAGGGACATCACTGAAGGACTCTGCATTAAGAATTAGACTCCCCAAGGCTGGTCATGCTCCTTGTCCTCAGGGTTCCCTGTGCAGCTCCACCTTCTATTAAGTCGAAGGGAGTTTTCCTATCAGTGCGCATAAACAACGCTCAGTCTAGCTTTTGGTTAAATAAGTTATGTACAACAGCCGAGATCTGAGGGCATGAGGGACTTAAGAGAGAGGCCTCCAAGCAAATAATGATTTTCCTAAAATCACAAGATTACCCACCCAACTGGCAAAGCTACCTCATGCCACGAAATCCTGATATTGGCAAGGATGGGGAAATAACATTAAAATACATAGACACAGGATGATCTGATGACTCCAAAAGCTGGCTATGTTGCCCTCTGTCCTTCTGGGGACACGTAACATAGGCTTAGTTGCCTCTTATCCATATGGCACAGCCCTGCGTGTGCCCCTCTGGACCACTTGCCCCATCAGCGATGGGCAATTGCTGCTCCTGGGCTCCCTTTTTAAATGTTTTGGACACAGTTCCAGAGAGGACAGCTGTGCTCGTCAGCTTTGCACTGGCTCCAGCCTCACCCTCCCTGCCTCCTACCCTGGGGACCTCACCCCCATCCACCTGTTGCTAGTAGATTTGCCACTTCGAGGGTCGCAGCCAAGAACTGCTTTTCTGCCTGTCCCACTCTACATGATAATCTGGGTTTCATTTTGCTCAGTGATTCTGCTTGGCTTTGCCCCTCTCAGATGCTGAGTCTTCCCTACTATCTGCACACTTAGGCACCTCCAGGATCCAAAGCCTGGCCCCCAGCCCCAGGGCCAGGGGGAAGGGCCTTTTTCAGGGCGACTGACAGGCTCAGAAGGTTCTGGTCCACTTGGCTGCCACTGGGGCAGGTGTGTTGCTCTCACCTTCTTATATAGGTCCCACAGGCGGTAGTAGAAGAGGCGGCAGGAGAGGCACCCGAAGCGCAGGTAGGGACTGAGGCCCGTGGGGCTGGCCAGCAGGGAGTTGGCGTTCATCCGGGGCCTCTCATAGTTGGCAACCCAGGCCTGCAATGGAAAGGGAAGGTGACGAAAGGAAAAGCCTGGATATTACAGAGGAAAAAAACAAGGCACTGGTTAAGGGATCTAAGGTCACTTAACAGAAAGCCACAGAGCCAGGAATTGAATGCCATGCATGTCCCACTCTTTTTTTTTTTTTTTTTGAGACAGAGTCTCGCTTTGTTGCCCAGGCTAGAGTGAGTGCTGTGGCGTCAGCCTAGCTCACAGCAACCTCAAACTCCTGGGCTCAAGCAATCCTTCTGCCTCATGCCTCAGCCTCCCGAGTAGCTGGGACTACAGGCATGTGCCACCATGCCCGGCTAATTTTTTCTATATATATTAGCTGGCCAATTAATTTCTTTCTATTTATAGTAGAGACGGGGTCTCGCTCTTGCTCAGGTTGGTTTCGAACTCCTGAGCTCAAAGGATCCACCCGCCTCAGTCTCCCAGAGTGCTAGGATTACAGGCGTGAGCCACCGAGCCCAGTCTGTCCCACTCCTTGATGGCAGCCAATTTTGAGACTGAACCACCACCAGGTCAAACGACAAGGCTATGTCCTCACCCTGACTTTGCTCTTTAATTTGTGGTATGGTTGTGAACAAGTTATTAAGTCCCTCGGCTGCTTGTCTATTAAATAAGAACAAACTTTCCCATCTCCTGAGGATTAAAAAATAATGAGGCATGAAGAAATCCTGAAAGCATTGAACAAACTCTATAATTACACAGAAGAAACATTTTTTTAAAGAAAAAAATTCCTCTCTCGGTCTCTGTTCCAGTCATCAGGGGCCCCTGAGGTTGCTGTGGCATCATGGACAACCAGGGACTTCGCACTATTGTTCAGCAGCAGCTGAGGAAGAGGAAACTCCCAACTCATTCCTGGGGACCAGGAACGGGCCATTCATTTCTGGGGCCATTTGTCATATACTATGGGTCCTGTCTTGTCATAATGGCTGCTGGCAGAGTGCTTTACTTTCCTGACTTTGTTCCTCGCATTCTCGCATTTGATCTTAACAATCTTCCTAAGGCAGCACGTATCATTACCTCCTTCTGAAAATAAGGAACTTAAACTTAAAGGGTTCTGTGACTCTCTTGGGGATACAGAGATGTTAAGAAAAAGGGCTGGGCTTTTGACTCCAGATTCCAACTTCTTTCCATTCTAATAACCATTTTCTCCTTCTTAACTCCTAACACCCTCTGGTGCTCACCACGATGACTGTTGTACACACTTTACACCTTCCTCAGACCTCCTGATCCACACTTTCCCACCGCCCTTCAGCAGATGACACGCCTTCCTTATGACAAATGAAGCAGAAGCCATCAGGTGAGTAACACCTCCACTTTCAGCCAGCAAATCCACAAACTCACCTGCACCCACACCTATCCCTCTTCCTCCTCCTCTCCTGTGACTCTGCCCAAGGCCAAGGCCTCCACCTGCTCTGGAGCCCTCCCCTCTTCCTTTTCTGGCATGTTCAGCTCCTCTCTTTCTATGGTTTTCACTACAGGAACGTTGGGAAAATGATTTCATTTCTCTTTGCAAACACAACAAAATAAAACAAAAACAAAGTACTTCTGGTAATCCCGTGACCTCTACACTCGGGTCCCTTTCCTACTTCACAGCTGTCATCTCTCTAATTGCCTCCCCCACTTCCGCTTTCTGGCCCGCCTTAGTCTAGTTTCTGCCTTCACCACTCCACCTTGCTGGCTCCTGCCAGAGTAACTTGTGACTTCTGAGCCACTGACTCTTGCAGGCATTTTCTGTCCTTGTATTTTGGACATCTCAGCAGCACTACACCCTGCTGACCACTCCCATCTCCATCCCCTTGACTCTTTTGGCCTCTGTGACTCCACACGCTCTTGGCATCTCCTGGCAGGCTGGCCACTCTGGGTCTTTCACCAGCTCCACCTCCTCTATTCACCCCTTAAATGCGGCCCAGGGCTCTGTCCTAGGTCTTCTACTCTACTGTGCTCCTGGGCAAGCTCATCCTGTCCCATAGTTCCTGACTACACCTTTTTGCAGACAAGCACCATGGCCATAGCTCTAGCCCAGATCAATCCACCCAGCTGCCTGCTAGAGATCCCTACTCAGTTGCCTTTCAGATACCTCTAGGGTGTGCTCTTTTCTTTAAATCCACCCTTCTGTTGGCTTCTCTACCTCAGCAAATGTACTGCCATCTACCTAGATGCCTAAGGCTCAAGCCTGCCCATCACCTTTTGCCTCCTCCCCTAGTCCTACTAATTCTACTACTCAAATATTTCTTAAATCTGTCCTTTTCTTTCCATTTCCTACTGCCACCAACCTGGCTCAGGCCAAGGTCACATCCAGACTGGACAACTGTGAGCACCTCCAGATTAGCCTCCCTGCATCTCTTCCCACCCCCCCTCTAATCCATTCTCCAAACTAAGACCAGGGTGATTGAAAGATGTTTGTCCCTCATGATAACATGTGCAGTGGGCTCTCTGCTGCTCTGAGGACAGAGCCCCAAATCTTCCTGAGAGCGTACGTGGCTCACAAGCACCCACACCTGTCCAACTTTGTCTCTGCCACCCCTCTTTCAGCACCCTGCTCTCATTAGCCTTTGCACAAGCTGCTCTCTTTGCCTGGCATGCACAGTCTTTCTCCCCTCCTTCACTTGCTTAACTGTGACTTTTCCTTCAAATCTCAACCTAAAGGCCACCTCTTCAACAGGTAACCCCTGAGGTATTAAGTGCCTCTAACAGACACTAGGTGTTTTTGCCCTCACACGCCCTTGCTATGTTCCTTTTTAAAATATTTTTGTTTTAAATGAAATACAGATACAGAAAATCACACAAATGTGTAGCCTAATAAATTATTCTAGGGCAAACCCCTGTGCAACCATCACCAAAGGTCAAGAAAGAGAAATTTGTCAGCCCCCTCACAAGTCTGCCCATGTGCTCATTCCAGGATCAGTCCTCCCACTTCGCCCCATAAGTAACCCCTACCCAAACTTTTATAATAATCACTTCCTGCATTTTTGAAATGTTTCCATTTTCCTATTTTGGCAAAGCATGTTTGGAAGGGAGGACTTTATTTTCTCACAGTTATTCCTTGTATTTTTAAGTAGCAGCTTTTATCCCCACTCAAACGTGCATCCCTAGAGGCTATAGTTTAGTCTTGGCCATTTAAAAATTTTCATATGTTACTTAAGTTTCTTTTCATCTATACATCTCCTGATATCTTTTTCTTTTCCTTTCTATTTTTCTGTGGAAGAATCCAGGCCATCTGACTTGTCAAGATCCCCATAGTCTGGATTTTGCTGCTCATGGTGCAGTTCAACAACTCCCTCTGTCCTGTGTGTGGTCTGCAAATTGATCACTTTGGCAAGACTACAGGGGGACATTACGCTTATCTCTCTTTGTAGCGTTGGCAGTCATTAACGTACAATGTGTCACCACTGTAAAATGGTGGTATTCTAATTCTAGTATTCCCTTTTTATTTGATAATCAGAATACTTTTAAATAGAGATGGCTGCACTCTGCCCTCATCTGTTATTGGGTAACCCAGTGGTAAAGATCATAGGGCTTGTCTCCCATTTTTGGTAACAGCATCTAATTTTCTTGTGGAGAACCAGCCTTCCCTAATCTTAGTCCGAATGAGTAAAGTAGAGCTAACCCACTTTCCAACTCTGGAAGTAGGCTTATGATGGAAGTCTGGCCAGGCGAAGCACCCCCATCCCTGGTCATAGTGATTGAGTCAGGGATAGTCACATGACCCAAGCCAGGCCAGTAAAAAGATTCCTTGAAACTTTTCCTGAAGGTTTTGGAAGAGAGACAGCACCTTCCTCCGGTATTGCTAAACAGATTACATATAAGCTGGTGGTGACCGCCTCTGCCACTGCTCAGGAAAAGCCCGCCTGAGAATGAAATCATACAGGAGAAAGCAGAGCTAAGAGATGGAGAATGCATTCCTGATGGCATTCTTTGGACACCTGAATCTGGCTGTGCTTGAAGGTGACAACTTAGACTCTTGGCTATGTGGGTTAAAAGCCAACCTTTTTCAAAAGCCAAATTGTAAGCAAGAACTGATTGATATAATCCTCACATTCTTTGCTTCCATAATCCTCAGAACCTCTTCTTTCAAGACCCTTAGGACATCTCTAATTCCTTAATGTCCATCATCTCCAGTAGACAATGCCTCTGGAGACAGACTCTATGCCTGTCTTGCTTGGCAGTCTTTCTAGTAACTAGAACATCCTGGCAAGAGTAGCTGCTCATTTCAGATCTGGAGAACTGAAGAAGTTAAAACAAATCTCCAGAAATCAGGTTCAACTCCTGTCCATCTGGCACCTTCTGTTCTCCCAAATGTGTAGGGCACAGTATTTTCTCTGGCTACCACCAGGTTTGAATGGGTCTAAAACATAAGGGTCCTTGAGAGAAGGAGTCCTCCAGGAGTGTGCCCTGAGACCACCAAGTCAGGAGCTCCTCAGCAAAGTGATAGAAACTATAAGCCGTGGGACCACAGGTTAGCTCTTTACATGCTTAAGTCTCATTCCACTCCTGTCATCCCATTTGTCATCTCTGCCTCCTTTCCCCAGCCTTTGTCTCCAAATGAGCCCAAGAAGCTCTGGGTAAAGCTTTCATGTGGATAGAGACAGCTGTCCCCTCATGTGTCCTTTCAAATCTGTGGGGCTTGCTTTTGGCACTGGCTGATGGTAATGCCCAGATGGGAACGTCAAGGCTGCTGGGCCTTAATTGCTGGCTAGGTGCTCCCAGGGCTGGGAAAACATTCTTCCCAAGTGGGCCTGCTCTGGCCTCCTTGTTCCATTGTTATCATCTGGCTGCTAGGCAACATGCCTGGCCATCTGAGCAGGCGTAGAAAAAGTTGGGATTTTTATAAACCAGCTGCAGGGGACAGGAAACTCTCTGTTCTGAGAAACTTCTCTGCTCCTTTGGTCACAGGATGGCGAGGTCCATGTGATGATATTGAGGAGTATCTCTGGGCCTGGGCCTCTTTCCCTTCCCTTGCCAATTTCTCCTGCCTGCAGTGGGAGGTAGGTCATTTGTTCTCTATGCAAATGGAAATCAATGCCCTAGAGGAGACCTAGCAAAAGGTGGAGGGACACACCTATATAAAATCATTAATCTTATGGATTTTACTGACCAGGGGAGCCTACCTAAGATGAAAGAAAAGCCATGTAGCATAAGCTTTAGAATGACATAGAACAAGGACTCATAGAATAGAGGGCTATTATAGGTTGGGCATCCCTAATCCAAAAATACGAATTCCAAAACACTTCTGGTCCCAAGCACTTTGGATGAGGGATACTCAACTTGTACTTACTGTGTGACCTCAGGCAAGTTACCTAACCTCCCTAAGCCTCAATTTTGTGATCTGTAAAATAGAGAGGCTTAATACCCACCCTCTGGGGCTGTTGCAAAGATGAAAGGAAATAATGCAAGCAGGTACTTAACCTCAAAAGCTCAGCCCAGTGACCACCACGTGGTAAGTACTCTCTAAATGGCAGCTGCTATTATTGTTGCTGTTTTTGTTGTTACTGCCATCAGGATTTCCCATTTTTTAACCAGTGTGAGTGAAGAGGTACTAAGGGACATGAACCTGGCCTGTATCCCCTGCTGTATGGGTGTCACAGTTCTGCCCCAGAAACAGGGCTCATACCTTCCGTTCCAAATGCTTATCCAGGCGGGCCAGAGCTTCTGTCTCTCCTCCTTGCCAGACAGCTGGGCCAAGTCCTTCAGTGGGGAATCCTACACGAGGAAAAGCAAGTCACAGGAATGGAGATAGCTCAGCAAGTCCTGACACATTAGTCTGTTCTTTGAACTTTGTGAGAACTGAACCATAGTGTTTTGGGCACTACTGGGGATGAGATAATCCTTAAGGTTTTAGCATTTTCTAGGTCACCCTGGTTCTCCTCCCACCGTCACTATTTTCTCTCCTTTCCCTTGCCTTCCCCATCCCAGCCCCTTATCATGCCAGGTGAGAAAAATCTTGGACTTCTCACTCTTTCAGATTAGATGGCAATAAGTGTGGTTTTCAGGTAAGAAAGGCTAGTTTTGGCCAGGTGTGGTGGCTCATTGCTTGTAATCCTAGCACTCTGGGAGGCAGAGGCGGGCACATTGCTCAAGGTCAGGAGTTCCAAACCAGCCTGAGCAAGAGCAAGACCCCGTCTCTACTAAAAAATAGAAAGAAATTAATTGGCCAACTAAAAATATATAGAAAAAATTAGCCAGGCATGGTGGTGCATGCCTGTAGTCCCAGCTACTCCGGAGGCTGAGGCAGAAGGATTGCTAGAGCCCAGGAGTGTGAGGTTGCTGTGAGCCAGGCTGACACCACAGCACTCTAGCCCAGGCAACAGAGTGAGACTTTGCCTCAAAAAAAAAAAAAAAAAAAGGCTAGTTTTGTTCAGATCAAAGATGAAGGGTGGAGGGAAAGAAGGGGGAGGGGGTAAAGGGTGTAGTCAGTAACCTGAGGGACGGACAGACCCCCTCTTTCAACAGAAGCCATACCAGTTGTCCTGGTATTGAGAAGCCCACTGATACCCACACTAAACAGTGCTTGTGTTATCTGAGAGAGGGAAGTGCAAAAATAGAGGTGCAGATTAGAAACAGAAGATTATATCCCTGAGTATGAACAGAAAAAAGACAGGAAGGACACAGTCCAAAATGAATAGTGGTATCTCTGGGTGGTGGCACCATAGTGATGGTTATGTCTAACCTTCCTATAATAACATGTATTACTTTGACAAAGAAGAACAAACCCCACTAAATTTCTCCACACAAAGGAAAGCGGCAGCATTAGAGGCATGGGGTGGGAAGCACCCACCCAGCTCCTCCAGGGAGGGTACACCATAGGTTTCGTCATGGTTCTCCTGGATCTCGGCCCTGCAGCTCTCCATCTGCTGGCTGGTCACTGAGCCCACTGGTTTCTTGGGCAGTTCCATGCGACTGATGATGGCCTGAAAGCGCTTGTAGGTCAGGGGTGGCTTCTGCCCATTCAGCTCAATGATCCTGGGAATCCCAAAGCACAGCTAGTATCACTAACAAGGCCCTTTGTTTCTGGTCCCCACCCATCCAAAAAAGAGCCCAGACACTGAAGGCTTTGCAGGTGGCTTTCCTTATCCAGCCACGGGTCCCACCCGAGTGGAAAAGAGTAGGCAAAGGAGACTGCATCTCCATTTTACCGAGAGGGAAAATGAAGCCCAGAGAGCTGGAGCAGGTGCCTCAGGTAATGGAGCAAGGCAGGGCCAAAGCTGGGACTCAAGTCCAGGTTCCCTGGTGCCGACGTGGAGCCGCCTAAAGACAGAGACTGACCATATCTCTCTAATCACAGAAACCCCCCACTCGCCTTCTTGGTCTATCTGTCTAAGCCGTGGGAATCTATGCAGACCTCTCCCCCAGCGTGGGCCTTGGAGGACATTCTTTGATAAGAGCCACAAACACGTTCCTTTCTTGGAAAATCATCCCCTTCTTAGCCTCTATTTATTAGAATAAAGAGGTGGAGGACAGCCTATCCTTCCTAAATCAGAGACCGAGGCTAGAGTTCTGGCAACAGCTAAATACTTAAATAGTATCATATAGTTTATAAAGTATTTTTCATGAGCAGGAGAAACGTAACTGCACTTGTGCAAGCAGGAAAGATACTAATACAAGAAGGTGAAGAAGAGAATTGAGGCTATTTATAAAAGGATCAGTTGGGATGGTATGGAGACAGATTCCTGGCTCCACACTACCCCAACCAGGCTCTTGTTGGCCAAAAAGCAGCTTACGCAAGACCCAGCTGGCTGGGTGAGTTCATTTTTCAGTTTGTTCTCTCTCGCTGTCTCCATTAGAGGAGATATAAGGTTGGCTGCTGCCTCTGCAGTACCTCCCTGCTCCTCTGGCACGTGGCAGGAGGAGGAACTCCACACCCAGCCTCTCCTCCTGAGGGCTGGCTCACGTGCACAGCTGTGTGACCCAGCTTCCTGGCAACGGGGTTGGGGAGTGGGGGTGGAGAGTGGTGGCTGCTGGCTTGGCAGCAGCAGAGCAGGAAGGTGACGGCTCCAGCAGGGAAGGGGAGGAGAGGGTTTCCTTCTAGACTCTCTGAAAGCACAGAGCCTGTCACCAGGGGAGGAGACTCCGCTGTAGTTGTGCGCTCCCTGCAGGGCTCTCCGGAGACCCCTGAGCAACATGGAAACGTGTGGCCTGGAAACCCAGATAGCCACAGGAGCCAGGGAGCTGATCTTAGCTACAGAAACTGGGCCTGTGAGAACAGGAGTCTGTTGGAGGGTAACAGACAGGGTCCACTGAGGCCAGAGGGCAGCTGTGGAGGAGCAGATGGAAGTGGGAGCATGAGGCACAGATGGGACTAGAGCATATTAGGAGCAGGTCCAGGAAGATCCTGAGTGAGGAGCCTCACTGCTTCCATACCTTGGGCCTAATAAGCCTCTTTGTCACCCAAATCGGGTAAAGCCCTTTGTGATCTGTCCTGTAGGTTCCAGCTCTGGCCCATTCTCTTCCAGCTTCTAGAAAATGCCATACCTCATGAGCCAGGTAGTCCTATTGTGGAACCTCCCTGAGTTCTGCTCAGCAGGGGCCCAAATCACTAATCTTCCCAAGTGGCAACCTGACCCCTGGGGCCCACCTCTTACCTGTCCAGGTCATAGAGGGTATGCGAATTCTCGGTCACCACCTCCACACCAGCCTCCTTGGCCATCTTCATGATGGCTGCATCTCGTTCTTTCCCAAAGGGCTCGGAGTCATATTCAAAAGTCAAGCGTGTCACCCCCCATTCCTGTGGGGAGAGAATCTGTTATGCTCAACCCTGTGTTTGGGCAGGAGGGGGAAGCTGGGCACTCCTTCCTGGGAGGGAATAGAGCCAGTTGACGGACTTGTCAGATGGGCAGCAGAACAAACTAAGGACAGTGATTTGAGCTGGAAGGCAAACAATCTGAGGCTCAGAAAATTTGAGGAGGGCAGGCTCAATGATCAGTGAGGTGAGGCTATTAGCAGGGCAACAGCGGCATCAGGAGACAGGTAGGTGGCTTTGTGCACTGGCTGTGTCCTTGAGAGGTAAGAGAATGTAGCAGGAGGCTATAAATACAATGTTCCCAGGGGACCCCCAGTCCCAGAAAGAGGCACTGACTCACTGGTGGAGACAGCGGGGGATAGGACCGCCTCTCTCCTGCTCAACAAGCTTTTCTCAGAGCTCCTCACAGCCCTGCAGACTTGTGGCCTAGTTTTCTTGGCAGACTTGTGCTATGTGAAGTGTCTTAATGGTTTCCACAGCAACACTTCAGAGGCCAGTAGCAAACAGAGCTAATAGGCTCCAGCTCTCAGAGAGTCAGGGAAGGAGGAGTGATCCTTAGTCCAGAGGTCACACAAAACTGACCAGAGGGCTGCATGTTGAAAAGAAGGGAATTCTGTATGTTGAAAAGAGGGAATTCTTTTCTAAGTCTTTAGTTATTTCTGGGAGGAATTTCAGGATCTTCTGGCAAGCTGGCCAGTGAAAAGTTGTACAGATGACTCACAGAAAGCTCTAGAGCATGCGACTAGCAAGAAGAAAAACACATTCTAATCAAAGCCTCTGGTCATGGTCTCTTAAAGCTCTGAATCTCAGGGCCAAATGTCCTGGACCAGACCATGCACAAACTGTTCTGGTCTTGACTCAGCCCTGCCTGGGAGGTAGGTCCATAGCAGGGCCAGTGCAAGGACAATAACACTAAATATTTATTGAGCCCTTACTGTAAGCCAGGTACCATGCTTAGTGGCTCATGTAGATTAGATTGTTAAATACTCATAGTAACCCTGGGAACAATAATAACAATATTATTAAATGACACTTTCTCCAAGAAGCCTTCCTTGACCTCTTCCTTCAATATGATCCTCCTGTACTTTATTCTTTTTTCATCACAGCATTCATTATATGGCAACGCAGTTTCCCATTACTTGCCTCTTTGCCCTGTTAGTGTGAACTCCTAGAGCAGAAACCATGCTGTCTCTTTTATCACCGTTACCCTAGTACCTAGTGTGAGGCCTAGTACCTAGCAGAAACTCAATACTCACAATGGATGACTGAATGGATGACCTACCTATATCTCTGGACTCTAACTGGGCTGGCATCCAAGCTGCTTGGGAGAGAAGGGGCAATGTGGACAAGGAGAGAGGCGTACACATTTATACGGTATGGTGGTTAAGGACACAGCTCTGGAGTCAGTGAATCCAAGATCACCACTTAATAGCTTCATGTCCATGGGCAAATTATTGTTTCCTCACTTATAAAATGAGGATAGCAGTACCTACCTCTTAGGGCTGCTGTGAGGAATAAGTGAGTTAATATAAACAAGCACTTGGAACAGCACTTGACTCATAGGCAGCCCTCAATGAATGTTAGCAATTACTAGTATTGTGTGATTGGTACATGCATGTGCAATTATATGTGTGGGGGTGTAGGGAGGAAAGCTGAATGATGACATATTTACTAAGCTGTTTGCCTTGACAGGAGACTTTTCCTCCTCTCTCAGAGCAGAGGTGGAGAGGGGCACACTGTATGCTGCTGGGGACAAAGGAAGTCTATCCTAGAGCCTTCTGTTCATGAGGACTTTTGCCTCTATTTGGGCTTAAAACATGCTTTTTAAAGGGGATGGGGGGAAAGTGGACAGGTCACCACTGCAAATAGAAACCAATGTGGTTCCCAAAAGAAGAATTTTATCACTCATTTACCTGAGAGGAAACAGGGAAGCTCCCTCAGAAAGGCTTTTTCCCAACAAGCAGAGCAAAGCAAGACGGGAAATGCCCCTTGCCAGACATGAAACCCCACCCTAGAAGTCTTGACATAGGAGGAGTCCTAATAAATCTTGCTAGTTTGAGCCAAGAAAGCATCTAAGGAAGCCAGTGTCATCCGGGGTGGAATGACTTACTACATTCTGTGTCTGGACTGAGCTGGGAACTTTCCAACAAGACAAAGGTTTCACACAATTTTTTCCTTAACACAGTTTCCATTCCAAAGGCAAGCTGACCAGATGCCTCTGCTCCCAATTGCTCTAGCAACGGCCAGACCAGCTCTGATATTTCCATTCCGTCAGTCAGAATTTCATGTCATTCAATCTGTGGGGAAATCCTACGAGCAGAGTCTCGCCCTCTTCTCCGGAGCCCTACACATTTACCTTGAAAAGCCTTGGGAACACATCGGCTGGCTGTCCCCGGACGACAAACAGGCGGGAGTTCAGTTTCCTCAAACTTGTGTCCAGATCTTCCAGAGACTGAAGTAGGAACCTGCAGAGACCACACAGGTCTTGTTGGTGACAACATAATAAAGACTAGCTCCCTTTCCTAGCAAAGCAGGAGAAACTGGCTCACTGTTTACGGCAAAAAGTGGCACCACGAGCCCCAGGACTGGAGAAGCCTGGGTTATGAAGCAGAGTGGATTGGTGCTGCCTGGGTTGAAACCCTGGCCTTACTAGCTGTGTGACTTTAGGCAGTAACTTAATCTCTTTAGCCTGTTTTCTCAGCTGTAATACAGAGTTGACGTTAGTACCTATCTCTTAGACTTGCTAAGAAAAGAAAATCAAATAATACAAGAAAAATACTTAGCACAGTGCCTGGCACATAGAGATCATGGGATAAGGGAGAGCTGTTCCTAGTGTTGCATTTCTTTGTGACCGGAAGCAAGCCACTTACTCCCATCAGCCTCTAGGGCTGGGTGTAAATATCTGCCTAGCACGAGGCTGTTGTGAGAACCAAATAGGCCACCTGAAAAACAGGTATGATTCTGTGTGGGAATCATCATGGTGCTATTAGCAGAGGAACAAGACTGCCACAGCCTGGAACACCCTACTTACTCTGGGCTAACAAACTCCTTGCCTTTCTGTATTCGTGCCTTGGACAGCAAGTGTTTTGGCTGCCATAGCCCCCAGCCTGTGCTGGGGCCCCCGTCCCCAGAGCTTTGTTTGGCAGGTGGCTCACTCTCCAGGGCTCTGGTAACCAGGTTCTCAGCCCAAGAAGAAGGCCTTAGAAGGTACTTCTTGTTAGAGATCCTCACTTGCCTGTGGGGGTGGGGGTTGAGGCGGGGGCGGGAGACTACAGATACACAAGCACTCCTGCAGGAAAGCTGGATTACCAGGGGAAAGGGAAGGGAAAGGAATGTCTGCTGAGTGCCTTCACTGTTTTATTTTTAAGTTAAATTAACATCATAACCAGGCAACTAGTCATGTGGTTCAAAATTCCAGTGACAAAAGGGTACACAGTAAAAAGCGTCCCCCCCCCTTCTTCCCTCCACAGAGGCAACCAAGGTTATTAATGTGATTACAGATCCATCTAGTGTGCTTCTAAAGTACATATTCTCATTTAATTCTCTCAACACATTTTGAAGGAAATAGTATTATACTATCCCCATTTTATAGACGAGGAAACAGAGACACCAAGAAGTTAATTGATTTGCCTAAGATCATGGCTAAGTGAGAAAGCTGGGATAGGAACCTAGGTAGGTCAGACTCTGAAACCCGTGTTTTCTTCTCTGTGCCCCATTTATAAGGACATTTAGTGGCATGCCAACACTGTTCCAGGTGCCAAGATTCTGTAGGGCATGAGTTTGGAATCTCCCAATACCAACCTGACTACAGGTGGTCCACTGACATCCCTATCTTCCTCTTCAGGAACCAAGCCCCGACAGGTCGGCCTGCATATGTCACAGACCCCTCCGAGGCACCTGCTAACTACCCCTTGGCATCACCCACCTTTCCCTAGAATCTTTCATCTCTGTCAACAGTAGGAATCACCAGGTTTTATTTTGAGCTCAATGAAATCCTGTGCCTCCTCTGCTGCACGTCACATTCCCCGACTCCTGGAGGCTCACAAAAGCAGCAACTGTTCCTTGGCTGCCAACTAGAACCAGCCCCCACTGCTGCCTCTGACATACACAACCTGACACACTCCCACGGCCAATGCCATGGACCCACATTCCACACTCCAGCACGGGCTGAACCTTGGGCTCAGGCCAAAATACCATGTTAGCTAAAGAGCGTGCAAGAGACTGGGGGCTTGGGATAGGAGACTCTGACAGGTTGAATGCTGCTTTATGTAAACCAAAAGCTCCACCTCTGTGAATTTCTGTTTTTGAAAAACTGACACCCTCAGAAAATGACAGAGGAGCTGCCAAGTGACCTCCCCCAGGCCTCACCACTATTCCAGAAGGAAAATAAGAGAGATCCATGCAAATAGCCTCAAGCCACCTGAAACCTGGGCCCTGCCAGGTAGAATAACTAGAGATAACTGCAGTGATTTAAATGCCACAACCCCAGGACAGAGGGTCCTCCATATGCAGTTCCCAAGAATATTCTTGTCATGCACCTTGGGGGCCTCTTCCTTTACAGTCCACCAGGCTGCATAGGACTTTGATTTGAAGCTATAAATAAGGCTGAAATGAACCTCAAATCTAGGTCCCAGAACATGTAGCAATTTGCCTTCTACAGAAATTTATTTTTAGACCTCATTTACTAAAAGGAGAGATTCCTTGCAGCATCTCTAAAGTACAGATAATTCTATGAGAGCCCTTTTCTTCTTTCACAAGAGATGTCTATAGCTGAGGCAGGATGCAGAACTCTGAATCCAGCATCTAAATCATAATAATGATGATGATAATGGCAACAACACTTAACGAGCGTTTACAATGAACCAGGCACTATTTGACTTGTTTTACATACATGACCTCATTTAATTCTTAAACAGCCCTATGAAGTAGGTACTATTATCATTCCCATTTTACAGATGAGGAAACTAAGGCATAGAGAGATTAACTAACTTGTCCAATATCATATACGTAATAAGTGGCCAGAATTCAGACCCAGGCAATTTGTCTGGCTCAGCGTGTTCGTTCTTAACCATCAGACTCCACTGCTTCTCACAAACGGCCTGTGCATGAGGCCATGTTGCGTAGGCTCAGCCTTTAGGGAGCATCACAACTCAACTCAAAGGCCAACACCTCTGCTGCCAGATCTTTGCTCCTCTGAGGGTGGCTGTGAATCACCCAGGAGCCTGTTGAAATGCAGACTCTCAGGCTCCAATCCATACCTCCAAGATCAGAATCTATATTTTTAACAAAATCCCCAGTGATTCTTTTGGACAATAAAGTTTCAGAAACCCTGCTCCAGAAAATTGAACTATACTTCTAGCCTCTGTTTACAAGTTTTCTTTCTTTACTTCTGATTTGTTTCTATTAAACTTTCTCTCTTGGAGATCCTGGTTTCTGCGTCCTCTTGGGCCCTCTAGAAATGCTCTGCTAATTCCAACTTCCCTCAAGCCCTACAGGGCTCCTCTGGGAAGGAAGGGCTCAGGACAGTCCCACAGGAGGCAAGGCAGGAGATGTGAGGAAGGCTCCCAGTATCTCCAACCTCCAGGCAGCCAGAGAAAGGGAAATCACCGCTACGAAACCACCTTTGAGGCCTGCCAGGTACGGAGCAGTGCTACTACTGGGCAAGTGATAACTGGGGCAGGGGTATGCGCTCTTTCACCAGGAGAGAACTCTGGGCCTTCTGTGGTCCCTTAGAGCTCCCCTGTGCCCGTGGTCAATTTCTCTTTACTCCACCGAGGGGACTCTAAGGGAAACTGGCCTAGGCATTCATTGGAGGTGGTGATGTTGGAGGCTGGCACCTCACCCTTGGCAGCTCCAGGCTGAGCTCACATGGCCAAAATACAGAGCACATGGTCCTGTCTGAGCAAAGCTCACCCTTAGGATTAGATAACACGTGCAACTGAATTACATTACATAAATGCTCTGGAGCCAGAGGCAGACAGAACTGGAGAACACCAAATTGGGATTTCCAAAAATACAGAGGGCTCTGTAATTCAGGGACTCCATGAGGCTAGCCCTTTGAAATAAAACAGGCAGATCCTTTAGTTAAGTACTTATATTTAGGGAAGGCCTTCTCTAGGGATGGCAGATTCTGTGTTGAGGAATATATTATTGTTGTTAATGGGGAGAGGGAGGATGACAGTGAACTCTTCTTTTGGGTCCAGACTGCTTTTGACCAAGATCCTCTGCTTCAAGCCAAGGTTATCTAACCATAATGATAATACCATTGGCTGGCACAGATTGGCTATATGGGTTATTAATAGAAATTTATTTCTCCTAAGTAATTAGGAGAGCTTAAGACCCATAGAAAAGGATAACCTAAACCCATAATCCATGGCAGAAATTTATTTCTAAATATCATTCATACACTCAGATCTAAGTATCTGAATGATACTTAGAAATTCTTACATATTTAAATATTAAATACTTATTAAATTCTTAAATAAAACAAATGATTTTTTCCCTAATTTCAAAGAGAAAGATGAAGAAGGTTTTCATCCCTTCTGGGCAAACAGAAACATTTCCTTGGCAGAACAATAAAGTACCTCACTTGGGTACTAGTGTGAAGAGCTCAGAGAAACTCAAATGTCCCCATTAGTAGACTATAGTTCTTAACCTCCTTCTTGCTGACCAAGTTCCAGAGAAGAACTACCTACATTGATAGCCCAACAGTGTTTAGCTCCCAGCGTTTGGGAAGAGGCATCCTGGGGAGTTCCCAATTTACTTTATTTATTAATTCTGAGAGAAATGGGCTGAAAAAGAACATATTTTATTTCTACCAACTCTCTTTGTTCCAGAAGCACCCGAAAGAGGTGCCGCACAGAGTTAGGGTCAAAATGATTTAAATAAAACTGTGGCCAACACCTACCTAAGTTGCAGCAGGGAGAGAAAAGTAATTAAAAACCACAAGTGCCTATGTTGAGCACCTGTTTTAAAATCTAGAAGCTGCTCATATCTTCCTTTTGTTTTGGTTATTGCTACAGTACTTCCTTCTAGATGCAGCAAATTTGGGGACGGAGGGCTAGGAACATGGGAAAGGGCTTAGTCAATTGGTGCTTGGGATAAAAAAGTCCTGAGGCTCATATAGCTACATTTAGCCACAAACCTCCCACTACCACCAAGGCAAGAAGTATGCTAGCCTTCTCCTATGCCGATGAATATACACATTTCTTGCTTGCCTTTCTTGGTCCTTTTATACTCTTAGAAAGTGCCATTCATGGTTATTTTAATCTGATTTCATCTACAGAAAGACACTGTGTGGGAGTCAGCGTAGGCGGTGCAGGAAGATAATAAAGATCACAGATTTTGATCCCCCCCTTGCAGATGGCTCCCCTCTTCCTAGGGAGGCTTCTCAGAGGCAGCAACTCAAGCATTTGCAGAGCCAGGACGCTATGCTGCAGCACAATTCTCCCAGGCCACTCCCAGGATCCAGAAACAGCCACCGGAAGATTACACACATTGTAATTATGCCGAGGTATGGCTGGTTCCAGCACTCCCCTCTGTGTTTAGACATGAGCACAAAACCATATGCAGCTCTACTCCTGATCCATCCAGGAAGCAAGAAGAGTGGTGGGGGTGGAAGGAATGTGTCTATTTCCAGGTCTACGAGGAGGTATCATATCTGATCTATTTTGTGTTATTTCACCTCTTTCTTCTGAATGCCAACGCTAATTAGACTTCCCGCCAATGCACGACAATACATTTCCGAGGTTGCTCGGCTCACGGCTGTGGTTCCCTAGCCCAGTGTTTCTCAAGCTTAGCTGCAATGAGAGCATTAAAAACCCTAATGCCCAGGCCATAACCCAGAACAATTCAAACATAACTGGGGGAAAGGGGGGGTTGGCACCTTTTAAAGATTCTTGAGTAATTCAAATTCTCAGCCACAACTGAGAATCATCACTCTAGTTCATCCCCCTATTTTATGTTTTTCTTAATAGCACTTTGTTCTACTAAATTATGGTTGTTTACCTGTCTTCCTCCACTAAAATGTAGGCTCCAGGAGTTCTAAGAGCCAGACACATATCTATTTGTTCACTGCTGTACCCCTAGCAGTACCTAGCACGGTGCCTGGCAGGTATTAGGTAGTCATTAAGTAATCACTCAATACCTGCATTCCTACATGGCCTCTGACTTTGATATTTGACTCAGGTATCTGAGCTGCCACATTCCTTTTCTCCTTCACTCACTTGAAAGCATAGTCACAAAAGGGTGACCCACAAAAATCCATAAACACCTAGCTCCTAGCAAATTGGAGTTTAATCAGCAACAGAGATTTTGTTGTTGATTTTTAATCCCCATTACCACAAAGGAGTAGGCAGTCCTATGCCATGTCCCTCAAAATCCAATAAAAGAACAAACTCCTTTGTGACAATGTAACAAGCAGGTAGCTGGATTCTATTTACTCTGCTCTAATTGGCACACTGCCATAAGGAGGGGGCAAAGTCCGAGGCTTGGCTTAATGTCCACACTAGGGATGGTCATTTGAGGATGTTTGTCAAACCCAACTTCCTATCTATAGAAAATGGAGCAGAGACAGAGCAATAGAGCAGCCTGAAAAACAGTGTGGGCAGGCTCTCCACAGGACTATCTTTAGTTGTATCCACCATATAATGGGGGGGGGCATTTATTTTAATAGCCCCACTGCTAGAAGCACTCACTCACTTAGCAGGGCACACACCCTGGAGAGAAAAGAATGGTGTGCTGAGAGCCCTGGTATCCTGGAAATAACCTGGCCCATCTGTGCAACAAGGCCACAAGCAAACATCCCCCAGAACAATGCAAACAAACCAAATGACTGCTGCTAGGTGTTTTAAACAGTGATGGGTACACGATGTCTCAAAACTCCTTGGGTTGAATATGGCTCACAGAGAAAATACCCCAACTACCTGTTAATCCTTTACCGTGAACATGTTGACTCCATCTCCTGGGACTCATCAAAGAGAGGCCCTTGATATCATGGCTTTCCTACTCCCTAACCTTAGCACATCAGTTCATAAAAGTCTAGTCCATAATGGCTCAACCGCCCTTTAAAATCATCTCAGGAGAAGCAGAGAAACAGGATGATACTTTGGTTCCTTTTCATTTTTCTAGCAAGGTCATAGCTGCTGAGGAGATTTTCCAAAATGGGGTAAGTACTGCTCTAGTGCTTTGGACACAAAGCGCCTCTACCTGAAGATGCCCTTAGAGTCTTTATAACACAGGGGAGAAGGCCTTATCTGGTGCTAAGCCAGGGTCTCTAGACACCTCCAGTGGCAGGGCAGTCTGGTTGGAGAGAAGCCAGGATGGGTGATAGGGCGGATTCAAACAAAACCAGAGGCTTAGGGATGACCTTCCAGAGCCAGCAATGGGCTCTTCACTTGAAGAATGCGAGCAGAAACTCGCCCATGCCTTCGCACCGCAGGATCTCCTTTCCTCCCCTCCCTGAGTACACTCCTAAGAGCCCTGGACCAGGAGTCCTGTTCTGCCACTCACTGGCTGCAAGTGCTTGGGCAAGTCAACTTTGCGTCTCCAGTGCTCAAGAGTCTCAACTGTACAATGGGGATCATGATTCTGTCCCTCAGGCATGTTGTGAGGCTCAAAGGGGATAACACACAGTGCGAAAGCGCTTTGTCAGAAGTTGAGCCCTGGCCCACCCAGGGCATTAATACGATGACTAATTACTTCCCCGGTCCCGGCTTCTCCCCTCTGGAGAGCCCACTCCGTCCGCCGGCCCCACCTTCCCCCGGCCAGGGCCTCTGGGCTGGAGGAACCGGGCTATTTGGCGGTTGCCCCAGGGTCCTGGCTGCGACTCTCGGCCCCGCGACCCCCGGCCCCGCGACCCCGCCCCGGGCGCCCCTCACCTCCATCGGTTGATCCCCACTGAGGAGGAGGCCGCGAACCACGGGTCGAGGATGTAAACGCAGCGCACGCAGCGCGCCCCGCGCACGGCCGCCAGCAACGCCGGGTTGTCGTGGAGCCGCAGCCCCTTGCGGAACCAGTGCACTGAGGAGGCGCCATCCGTGCTGCTCGCCGGGGTCGGGGCCGCCGCCGCCGTGGTCGCCACAGCCGTCGCCATCGCCGCCCTGACTGCTTGGCCACCACCGCTCCGCCCCGTCGGAGCCCCGGACCCCGCCCACAGCCCGCCCAGTGACCTATGACGCCGCCGCTCCTCTCCGTAGCCCCGCCCCTAGGGCTCCGGAGCTCCTCTGCCATTGGCTGGGAGCCTCCCGCCGCTCAATTGGCCCAGCTGCGCTGGATCCGGCCCCGCCCCCTCACGTTCCCACCGTGTGTCTGCTCGCTGGGGTGGAACCAGCAGGCAAGGAAAGTGACGCAGGCGGGCGCTCTCGGCAGAGGTCCGGGCGTGGGCCGAGTCTTAAGAAACAGCGGATCTCTTACATGCATCTTGTTCAGGGCCTGCTTCTGGAAGAAGCTTCCTGGGCTGGCGGGGGTTGCTGTGGCTGTAGCCGATGACTTACAAAGCTGACAACCGGTCTTCCTGTATCACCATCATCATCTCCCTCACTCTATTACATCATCGGTGTCATTCTGCTGAAGCTGCCATTTACTGAGTTCATTTTACGTGCTAAGCAATACGATAATCTCCTTACGTAGACTGTCTCGTTTACTTATTACTCTCAACTCAGCCCAGTTACATTCGTTCAACAAACCAATGAAAGAGCTATTACTCTCATTTTACAGATGAAGAAAATGGAGGGTGCTGAGGGTTGAGTGACTTGCTCCATACCCTAAAAGCTATTAGAGGATTCCACTTAGATTATTCCGATTTTGAAACTTCCGCTTTTATCCACGAAGCTATACTCTTTGTGCTGAGATCTTGGCATTTCCAAGTGGCAGAATCTAAGGATGGGGGAGGAATGCCCTGATATGCAGCAGTAGACAGTTTGGGAGGGACTGGGAATGTGGATGACTTGACTGAGATAGGAATTATTCTGTCAGATGAACTCATTTTCTTTTAGTCTATGGGGTTCTATTGTGTGCTAAGCACTGGATTGGATTCAGAGTGGGATTCAGGGATGTGGAGGACACTGTCCCCATGTCGCCTCTGGGGAGCCAGGTGGAGCCCTTTTATTCTTCTGGAGTTTAGCACGAGGCTTGCTAATTGACTAATTGGCAAGAGACGCTATAAACACTAGCAACAAAGTGGTGAGAGTGGGCTAAGATGGCCTAGTCAGCCTAGAGCTTTGGGGTTATCAGGTGGAGGACAGTCTGTTTCATTTTGGCTGTAGGTTGAGTCCATGCTTAGAACCCTTCCTCAACTTGGGGATGAACAATGAAAGTATTTGGCATTTTAGTCGGCAGCATAGTGGCATTAATTGGCACCACTCTCTAAACCAGAACATCACTGCAATCCTAGTCTCTCTCTTATTTCCAGGGTTTTGCACAAGCTGTTCTCTCAGCCTAGGTCACACTCCCCACCCTACCCCTTTCTAACTCCAATTTGCCCTGTGTCACTGCTCAGTATAGATGTCACCTCCTTGCTGTCTGGTCCCAGCCTGCATAGTGCCCTGTCTTATTTTTTGCTTCTTTTTATCACTAGCCTTAACCCATGATACTGGAATTGTTTGCTTAATTGTCTTTCTGCTCTATCAGATTATAAATTCCTAGAGGGCAGGTCCTGTGGTTTATTTGCAGTTGTATTTCCAAGGCCTAGCTCAGCGCTTGGCAGTTAATGCTCAAGGATTATTTGAGTAAAAGGTGAACAGGGACTAGAGTCTCATGTTGTCAGGGACCTTAAAGGCCTATCCCAGTTCCCTCACTTGATCCTGTCCTTGTTTTTTAATTCCTTCTCCAAATGCTTGCTGAATAAATCAGTGCCACCTCTCATTACTTTTCTTTTAAGGTTTTGTATTGTCTCCTCTCCTATCTCTTCATCTCTCCACAAGGTTGATGCTCTGCTAGGAATAGAGCAGAGAGTGTAAGAAGGTGGTTCTCCCCTAAACAACCTTAAAAATGGACCCTCTTCTCTTCTGAATTCCCGTAGTACAATATCTATATTCTGTGAGATCTGTGAGGGCAGGCACTGTGCTTGTCTTGCTTAACAGTGTCTTCTCATGTTCCATGTATGAAATTCATGTTCCATAAGTTGCCTAGTGCATAAAAGATTTTACTAATTTTTTTAAAGTCCTCAAAAGTATACCAATAATGAAAAACAAGTAATCTCCTAATCACCATCAATTCCCAAAACCTAACAAATAAATTATTTCTTATCTTCGTGTTGCCTTCTAGACTTTGTTCATAAACATCTGTTTTACAACTGAACCTCAAAGCAGAGGTTTAGTGCTACATGCCTTTTTAAATTATTTATTTATTTTTTGAGACAGGGTATCACTCTGTGGCCCTGGCTGGAGTGCAGTGGCATCATCATAGCTCACTACAACCTCAAATTCCTGGGCTCAAGCAATCCTCCTGCCTCAGTCTCCTGAGTAGCTGGGGCTGCAGGTACATGCCACCACGCCTGGTTAATTTTTTCTTATTTTTTGTAAAGACAGGGTCTTACTATTGCTCAGGCTGGCTTTGAACTCCTAACCTCAAGCAATCCTTCTGGCTCTGCCTTCCAAAGTGCTGGGATTACAGATGTGAGCCACCATGCGTGGCTGCCATATGCTTTTTTAAAGTTAAAACATTAAGCATGTTCTATATTGCTGCGTCATTGTGTCTGTTTATGGTTTGTGTTACTATGAAGTTGATAAAGATAAATTATTTTATTGAATAATCACATATTGCTTGGGTATATTAACTGTGTAACATTCAAGAATCAGGAAGTAAATCTGGCACTGAATAGAATACTGCAGTGTAAAGTCCACTTTTGGTTTTTACTCCTTAAAAGGGAGAGAGAGAAATTGGAGACCAAAGAAGCCAGTAAATTGCTAAGGAAGTGAAATGTAGTCAGGTACTATTAACTCTTTGGGAGGAATAAGAACTGAGATTTGACCTCATAGCTATACACCTCATTATTTACAAGCACTTCTCAAGAGTGGTTGCCATGAGGATGCCAAACAGTTGCTCCTTGTTTCCACCAGAGGCAGAACAAAAGAAGCTAGCTTACACTAGGAACACCGAGAGATTTATGAAGGGCTTCTTAGGACAAGGTACTTTAAAAGGATCAGACGAATTAGCCAGGAGGTGGGTGGTGTCTTTCTTCCCTGAAGATATTTAAGACGACAGATCAGTCCTGCTTTGTCTCTTTTTGTTAAAGTCCAGCATAGAGATTGCATTAAACAACTTTCTACTTTCTCTTTGAAGTGCGCTTTGGGTAAATAGTTCATGATTGGTGGAAAGGTAACCAGGCGCGGAGGGAGGGACGTCCCTGGCGAGTTTAAGATGCCCGCGCCCTCTAGTGGCGGAACTGGAGAGCGGCGGTTCCGTTTGCGGCTGTGCCGCCAACACCAGGGCTCGGGCGGAACCTTCGCAGTGCGCAGCGGCCGAGTTCCCGTTCCTAAGACTTCATGCGACACCTACTTTGATGTAGGCGCACAGAATGTTTGTTCTTTGAACTAATCAGCGTGAGAGGCGGTAAAGCTTACCGCGAGCACGGACCGTACAGCCAAACTCCCTGGCTTCCGTTTCAGGCTCTGACGTTAATTAGCAAATTACTTGTGCGAGCTCCTTAACCTCCTGTGCCTCCGTTTCCTTATTTGTCAAATGGGGATGATGAGGATGACAGTAATACAGGTGCTGTACGGAATTGGAGCAAGATAAATGGACAAATGACTCAGAATTGAGGATCCAGAAACAGGCCCACATGAATCTGGGCGTTTTATTCATGGCAAGGATGTCTTTGTACGTTGGGGAAAAGGTAGATTTTCCTGTAAGGGTGATGGGTCGGTCAGATATTCCATTGAAAAGTAAATGAAACTTGCCTCCATTTCACAACATACGCACAAATCGATTCCTCGTGGATCTATGCTTAATGTGAAAGTCAAAACAATACAACTTTAATAAGATTATATAGAATATCTTCATGACCTGGGGGAGGACAAAGGTTTCTTGAACAAGACATGAAAAGCGCCTGTAATCCTCCCACTCTGGGAGGCCGAGGAAGGAGGGTTGCTCAAGGTCAGAAGTTCGAAACCAGCCTGAGCGAGACCCGTCTCTACTAAAAATAGAAAGAAATTAATTGACCAACTAAAAATATATATACAAAAAATTAGCCGGGCATGTTGGCGCATGCCAGTAGTCCCAGCTACTCAGGAGGCTGAGGCAGTAGGATCACTTGAGCCCAGGAGATTGAGGTTGCTGTGAGCTAGGCTGATGCCACTGCACTCACTCTAGCCTGGGCAACAAAGTGAGACTCTGTCTCAAAAAAAACCAACCAAACAAACAAAAAAAAAAACCCAAAAACAAACAAACAAAAAGACATGAAAAGCTTAACCATAAAGGAAAAGGTGGAGAAATTGGACCACATTAAAATTAAGAACTAATGTTTGTGAAAAACCATTATTGAGAGAGTGAAAAGACAAACCACAGAATGGGAACATACTTGTAACTCTTATAATTTTTAAAGAGCTCAAATCCAGAATATTTAAAGAGCCCTTACAAGTGAAAAAGAAAAAGGGAACCCAGTTTGAAACCAGGCACTTTCTGCTCCACTCCTCAACACAAAGGATGAATGTTCAAGTGGCCGATGAACACATGAAAAGGTGCTTGCCTTCATTAGTTCCTTAAGGAAACACAAAACCACAATGAGGTGCCATTATAGGCCTATAAGAGCGAATAAAATTAAAAGGATTGATCAAACCGAGTATTGGGAAGAATGTGAGCAATTGAAACCCTCACACTGCTCTTGGGAGTGTAAATTAATACAACTACCTTAGAAAAGTATCTGGTGTTATGTACTAAATTTGAAAAACCAAATATCTTATGAATCCTGAGCGATATATCCCATGACACAGCAATTTCACCCCTAGCACATACGTAACAGGGATCTGTGCACATGGGCACCAAAAGACACGTACTGGAATGTTCATGGTGGTATTATTAGTAATAATCATAAACCAGAGATAACTCAAATGTCCATAAGCAGTAGAAAGGATAAATTGTGGTGTGCTCAAACAAAATAATATTACACAACAGTTAAATGAATAACTACAGGCAGCAATACGGATGGATCTCACAAACTTAATATTGAACAAAAGAAGTCAGACACAAAGGAACATATATATATGTATATATCCATTGTATGAAGTTCACAACCAGGAAAAACTAATGTGTTCATAGCTAAAGAAGTAGAAATAACTCATATGTCCATCATCTGATGAATGGATAAATAAATGTGGTATATCTATACAATGGAATATCAATTGGTAATAATAAGGGAGTACTGATATATGCTACGATGTTGATGAAACTTGAAAATGAAAATATTATGCTAGGTGAAAGAAGCCAATCACAAAGTACCACATATTGTAGAATTCCATTTATATGAAATGTCCAGAATAGGCAAATTCATAGAGACAGAAATTGGTTTTCTAGGGCTGGGAGGGCTGGAGGGTGGGGTGGGAAATGGAGAGTAAACACTAATGGGGTGGTGAAAATGTCCTAAAATTG